AGAGACAGAGACATAGAGACAGAGAGAGAATTGTCAAAACCATCTCTGAGGAAGTGATATGTAAACCAGATGTCAAGAAGGAATGAGAACTTGAGATATGCCACAGACATCCGAGGTGAAAGAGTTTGGCCCATCTGACAAAGAGAAAGGTCAAATGGATTTAGCCTGAGTAACGAAGACAGCAGAATGCACCAGAGAATTTAGCAGGAGCCAGGCACTAGATCCATGCTAAGAATTTTTATTTCATCCTCATCCTATGTGAAGCCAGTGAAGTGCTTTAAGAAAGGGACTGAAATTGTCAAAAGAAATTAAATGATAGCTCTGGTTGCTTGGTACAAAAATGAACTAAAGCAAGCCTCGTTTAATGTGAGAGAGAAGGGAGGAGCACATGGTCACTGGGGCAGAGATGGCAATGTGAGTAAGGGCAACTGGAAACACTACACATGCAGTGACAGAAATCACACCAGCAAGGTGAGAGGGCAGAAAGGACATTAAAATATCCCAGACTCCAAACTAGCTTCAGTAAAACAAAACAATAAATGAACTTCAGAATGAATGGGGTAAATGTCCTAGAGCCAGGGAGAAAAAGGACAATGGAGAGAGGAGGGGAAGAAAAGAAAAGAATTAAGATGTGTTGAGTATTCACTCAACTGCAGATGAACTTAAGCATCATGCACTACAAACATGTGCTACTAAAAAAAAATTTAAAAAGAACAATTAACAAGAGCAAGGACTAAAAATAACTTAATCAGCTCAGTTTCTTAAGCCCTTTCATCATGTCAGTAAGACGTGTGCATCCGGATCATCCAGTACATTGGGATTCATGTTCAGTGTGCATGTTCCTGTTCCCCCTCTTCATTCCCTGTGGGCATAGCGAAGCTCCCTTCTCAGACGCTGCTGGCACAGGGATTTCCTCCCACTGAGGAGTGCCGACTGTGGGTCACCCAGCGTTACTGCCGGGGGACAACGCAGAGGGCAGACACCTATCTGGAGCACTCTGGACTCCATCTTGCTGCAGCCAAAGACAACAAACTGATCAATGGACAGCTGATAGGGCTGGATTTCTTCTTGTCTGCCTTTGTGGGTAACAAGATGCCCTATTTGTGCAAAATAGCCTTCTAGATTCCATTTGTACCTTCAGGTATTCCAGAGAGCAAGCTACTGAAGGACACTCGGTGTGGGACTGAGCTGCACTGGCAACCTTGTTGGGGGATATTCTCCCTGGGGACAGTCTCAGAACATGGTTCTTATCACTTAAGGGGCTTACAGACCCGCAGATGCCCAAGTGTGAATCCAGGAATGGTCAAGAACATCTGCACTTTATGTCATGAAAGTCAAGCAAGCCCGCTCCTATTGACTTCAAACAAGAAATGTGAAAAATCAAGAGGTAACACACACACACACACACAGAGCTCAGTCTAATAAGTCAAGTCTGGCATCCTATAGAAAAGTATTTTATCATAAATTATCCCACAGAATTGTATCAGAAACATGGGCCTGGTATCAGGGGCCTGTGTCTGGGCTACACTACACACAAGTTGATCAGAAGCAACCCCAGAACTTCTCTGAGACTCAGAGGTGCAATTTTCATGCAAGAATAATAAAATAGCTCCTGCATCCAGCAGTATACAATAACTGTAAATTACTATAAACATTCTTGTCAATGTATTTATGTGCATTTTACACAAGCCATTCGTTCTCCTTGGGCTACTAATATAATTGTCCTTAAGTCCTCACTATTGATGCCCGAAATTTCTTTGTGTGCTACAACTGCACACCTGGGTGTTGCAATAAGAAATTCTCTCCGTAAGTCACACGCAGACCACTTGGTTGGGCTATTTCCTTCGCATACGTCACCCTGTTCTCACACGGCATCATGCACTTGCGTACCGACATTGAGCCAAATGATCTTTGGCCCTCTGCACACATTCACAACTTTACAAAACCCCTAAACTCTGACTTCGAGGCTCCATTTTGGCTGATCACAGAGAGGCAGGGGTCCTGTCACTCACCTCTGTCGCTGTCGTAGAGGTACGCGAACTTGTCCCACTGGTAGTACTCGATGAGGCTCAGCAGTGCTCCCTTGAGGTCGGGCCGCATCTGAATCACGAAGGGGTGCGTGCCGTCTGTGGGGAAGCTGGGGGTGATGAAGGAGACGTGCAGTGTGCCGCAGAAGGATGTGATGGTGTTGACGGACTTCTTGTCATAGAACCCAAAAATCGCATAGACGCCTCTCGAAAACTGGGAGCAGACTGGAAGGATAGAGAAAACAGAAACGTTAAGTCATTCTATCTGTCATTCTATCTTGCTTGTAATCACAGGGACTTGGGTGAAACATTATCCCCTGCAAAATACAAAATCATGAACAGATTGAATGAAATACTAAATTCATCTTGAGAATCTATTAGAAACTATAAGCATTTATTCACTTAGCATTATGGGAGCTACCCACAGAATTACAGCGCATGAAATGTTATAATTCTGGTCACAAGAAAATACTTAAGTGATGGCTCAACAAGCTGCAAAAGCATAAACATACTTGGGGCAGGTTCATAAAAATGTAGGAGTAAAAAATAATTAGTTAGAAGAACAAACTGCAGTTTCCTAAGATTTGTGCACATTCATAGAACTCATTCCCTACAAAGTCTGATGCTTGCTCAAAGCTGGACTGTATCTCAAGGCCTTATATTACGCCAGTGTGCTTCCAGAGAGCTCTGATGCTGAGCAAACCTCTCTGCAGGGAGAGCGGGCCGCGTGTGAGTCGCAAACGCAAGCGCCAAAAAGAGGCATTTCCTGCACATGTCCCAGCAGCCAAGCAGCAGTGAGATGAAGCTCAGGATCCCCAGGATGACTCTTGCCCACGGACCTAAATGAGCCTGGATGGCCCCGTACACAGGGAAGAGGACTATCAGTGAACAGTTCGGCTAAGGACTACCATTTAACGAAGGCTTTACATTATATTCAAGGCTGTCCACCTATGGCACAAGCCTTCGCTCTCTTCTGGTGAGTCTAGTTCAGTGCCTGGCAGGGACACTCAGCTTGCTCCTCCACGAAACCTGTCTGCTGTTCAGCTGTGCTTGGATAATACAAGTATACACTCAAATGTGGTCCTCTTTGTGTGGGAACCACCTGGCCACCCTAGGCCATGGACAGGATAAATACCTTGTGCTTGGAATGTGCCTCCCGTGTCCTCCAATATGCTAACTCATTTCTTTTCAGTGACAGCCCTTGAAGGAGAAACTATTATTATTCCCAAATCACTGATGAGGAAATTGGCACATACAGCTGGGATACACCTCAGTGGTGCAGCACCTGCCTGACAAGCACAGGGTCCTGAGTTACATTCCCTGTACCAGAAAGAAGGAAGGAAGGAAGGGAGGGAGGGAGGGAGGAAGGGAGGGAGGGAGGAAAAAGGAAGGCAAATTGACATATAAAGAGATGAAGTAACTTACCCAAATCACACAGCTAGCAAGTGATAGATTTATTCAAATCTAGGCATTTAAATTCCACACACTCTAACTAATGGGTCACACTACACTTAAAAATAGATTAGTGGAGTACCTAGTCAGCTGTTGAATTGCTGTTTCTCCTCAACTGATTGACCTTCCATTTCGTTCACCAGAATGACAGCCATTAAGCAGAATGACATTCTAAAACATAAATTTGTTATTCTGTCTCTCTGCTGTTTGTCTCTGTCTCTGTTTGTCTTTATGTCTCTGTCTCTCTCTCTGTCTCTGTCTGTCTCTCTGTCTCTGTCTGTCTCTCTCTCCCCATCCCTCTCTCTCTGTCTCTGGCTCTCTGTCTCTGTCTTTGTCTCTCTGTCTCTGTCTCTGTCTCTGTCTCTGTCTCTGTCTCTCTCTGTCTGGTTCTGGCTCTCTCTCTCTCTCTCTCTCTCTCTCTCTCTCTCTCTCTCTCTCTCTTTCTCTCACTTTCTCCTACCCTCTCTCCCTCTCTGAAGTTACAGTTACTTAGGCCAAGACTGACCATCTCCAAAGGTCTTCTAAGCCACGACCCTAAAACCACTAGTACAGGTCAATCAGATGGTTTTGAATGAATGAATACATGGTAATTTTCCATCTTTGGAGTCATTTCATCCCATAAAATGGAAACCTGCTACCCCATAATAAAATGTAACCAAAATATGATGCCAACCTTCTTAATCATATTTGAAATATAAGACCAATACTACCTTATTTAATTTTATTTCCTTCACAAAACAGTTTATAGAAAAAGAGATTTGTTTTATAATAAGAATATTGCTAAAATACATGCAAACTGTAATAACAAATTTGATAAACAATAAATAAACAGCAAGATTTTAGTGACTTTTATATGAATGAATTGAATGAAAATCAAGATTAACTATTCCCATGAATGTCCTTTTCATAAGACATTTCCATTTTCCTTTAGCTATTCTCTGGAATTGAACCAACTTTTGTCATTGTCAGAGAAGTTTCTGGAATATCCAGGCCATTTCTGTGTGACATGCCAGTTATTCCACCCCAACTGTTCTTCAAGACGTGCTGATGTAACTAAGACACAACTGGATGGGATTGTTTTATTAATTTTATTGAGAAACAAATAGCAATGAGAGATTCAAAACAGGTTAGTAGGACAGTTACAATAATTAATACATTGCATATTGTTGTCTTCATAGTACAAGATGCAGAGATGACATCCTGTCCAAACACTATTGGTACAAATCTTTCCATTATGGAAATCAGTGTGGAGACTCCTTAAAAAAACTAGGACTGGAAATCCCATTCGATCCAGCTATCCTCCTACTGGGAATTTTCCCAAAAGAAATGAAAACATAACATCATAGTGATATATGTGCACCTATGTTTATAGCAGCAAAATTTGTGATAGCCAAATCTTGAAAACAAACAAAATGCCCATCACCTGAGGAATGGATGAAAAAGATGTGGTACAACTGGATGGATTTTTAACTCAACTTCAATCTTAACATAAAATGTCATGACACAATGAGACAGCTGTCACCTACTTGTCTCCACACTTTTGTTCTTCTCTTTGTACAGAAGTCGGACACACCTTCTACTTGCTGGGTATGTCCACTAATTCCACAGTCACAAAAAGCTTTCATTGGCAAAGCCCTTCTAGGGAAACCCTGTCATGATTTTTAATTTGTATAGAAATATTGGCTACATGTGTATCTTAAATCCTAAATTTACTCAGATTTCTCTTAACTCTGCTATCTAAGATAACCAAAGTCTGACATGTGCAAAGTGAGAGCTGCCATAAATTTCTTCGTCCAATTTTCCCATTTCCTGTAAAGTGCTGGCACATGAGCCACAGTCCCCAATAATCTCGCACAGCAGGATTTATTAGCAATGCCTCTTCCTTCCCGAATGAAGTGACTTCTGTGATGGCAACAGCAGCCTAGACAGCAGCAGAGTGCCTGACAGCAAATGCCACTGTCTGAATGCACAGATGACCTTAAGAAGGAAGCCCACGTTCCATCTCCTACTTGGTTTAGGGCCCAGCATGGGCGTCAAAGGACCCCTTGGTCATTGCAAGCTTCTGCAAATGCTGGCTTGAGAGTATAGATGATTTTAAACCATATGCACTTCCAAAGAATTACAGTTACCTCAGTTGGCCTTGATTTTCCAGGCTGTCTGGCTCCTTCTCCAGTGAACGTTATTCCATAGCTGTGTCCCTCCTCTCCCAGCAGCCCCTGGTTCCCTGAGACCCCTTTCCTCATTTTTCAGGGGTTTGTGGCATAGATGCAAGCATTCCTTGGCCAACAGCCATTGTTTCTCTGAGTATTTTTCCCAAGCAATTTTTATCACACATGAGAGTCTTTTCGTCAACATTGTCCACATTCCCCACTGTACTCAGGCCACCACAGTCCTGTGCCCAAGTATGATGCAAATGCAGTGATATTTTTAACCAGGAGTCACAGAGCCCTGAGGCGCTCTGTTGTCCCGTGTGCTAGGAGGATAGGGCCCGCCTACCCCACACATCTGAGTCTGTCTGCAGTAATCTTCATGCCCCGCCACGCTAGCACAGGTACGGGGGCCTGCTGACACGGTCCACACTAAAGTCATGCTGATGCGTTGCACTGCTTTGGACTGATCCCTCATTTGATTAGAAGTGGAACTGCTCCTCTCATTTCCCCACATAGTCCACTTCCCAGGGATGGCTTCAAAGTGTAGATCCAGGGCCAGCCAAATAGCTCAGTGGATTAAAGCTCCTGCAAGCAAGCGCAGGGACGTGGGTTTGATCCCCAGGCCTGCCATGCCACGCCTGCGCCTCGGGCATGCTGAGACAGCAATTGAGACTTGGCATGGTAGCATGTGCCATAATCCCAGCTCTTGGGAGGCTGTAAACAGGCAGATCACTATGAGTCCAATTTAGCATTGAGACCCTGAACACCCTGTAGGCCCTTCCCTAAAACACAGAAAAAAAAAAATGTAAATCCATTTTCCTCTAATTTCAATCCATCCTTTAAAGAAAGTAGGTTTATTGCTACTGAGAATATTCAAATTATTATGTGAGAAACTGAAATTAATTGCAAAGACAATGTTCTAAAATGAGTTAAGCAATCCCAGACTCCTACAGACAGTTGGCATTGCAGGCAGAGGAAGGAACTGACAGCCTGTTTGCCCTCCAACTTCCTGCTCATAGTTATGCTGCAAAACAGTGGCATGAGGTTCTGAAATGATTAGGCTGATGAGTATTACAATTGCATTGATGACTTGAAATTCAAACCTGATTGCCAAGGAGTTGCTAAGATGCTCTTCCTAAGTTCTACTGGAATTAAATATTTAATAACAACTTTGAAAACTCAGCAAAGGCAAGTCCTTCTGCAAACACTTTAGGTCAAGCAGCAGAAATGATAATCTCCTGGGTGTAAGCAACATGCTGATTGTTTCATTTTTTATTATCAGCCCAGATGGGATCAGCCAATAACAGTGCTGACGGTGCATCTGAAGCTTCCTCTCCTCCTGGGTCATCCTGCTCACTGGTGCTGCTAATGTAGCAGACACGACACAGTCCGGAGAACTTTGCGTGGTGATTTAGTGGAAAGGAAAATCGTGGGCATGATTTTTTATTTTACATATTTTGTATTTATAAGTCACCAATAACTTCAACAAAACAACACGGGTTGCTTCATAAGCAAAAATGCCACTCGCCCCTTGGCAGGTTGTAGTGCCTGGTGAAGGTGCCATTGTTGAGGAACAGGGACATCAGAGTACAGTGCCACAGGGAGACTGCCTCTCACGGGCAT